GTCTTTAAATAAATTTAATTATTGATTAATTCGTGAAAAAAATTTTACAATATTGCTAAAATTCAATGCACTACTAATTTATTTCGATGTGTATCATTACTTCAGAATAAAATAAATTTTATTTTCCTCAAATATTCATGAATGGACATTTTCCATCTACCAAACCTTTCTATGTAATTAATTCAATAACTACATTTCTAACTTTTTACAATTTAGATAATCTGTAATAATTAATTTTTTTAATCACTAATTAAAAATGCATGAGTTTTTAAAATACAAATTATTTGTTTTTTTTTTTTAGAAAGATATCGCACTATTTCAGTAATAAATTTAAAAAGTGGAAAGAGAAAAAAGAAAAAGGAAGTATAAAATTATTGACACTGATAATGATACGACAATAAATTCATGATAAAAAATATTTGATGACAGTTTTGCATGATCTAAAAAGTAAGAAATGATATAAATCGTTGATAAATTTAATAATTATCTTCCTTTTATCATATTACCAAAATTTCATTGATTTGTTTGTGTATTTCACTGCTATTTCTATTTATGCTTTTTCTTGAATTGTTTAATTAATTACCATTTCTATTTTGGAGAAAACAATTGAGCTAAATTTAGAAATGAAATTCCGTGAGACTAAAATAAAATAAATGAGCTTTTTGTCCATTAATCTTACGTTTTTCTTTCTTAATTTTCTCAAAAATCTCCTCTTTTTTGCTTTTTTTAACTCCATTTTAATACTCTCTTACAGTGCTTAAATTTAACTCATAAGTCATCTTCTACGCTTACCTCAATGATAACAACATTTACGTTTTTAATAGTAATGCAAAAAAAGGAATGAAAAACTTTTTGATTCCATTTCGATCATTCAAAATTCCAATCAATTTGCATATCTTACTATAATTAGTGTAATTTAAATTAGATCTTATAGTTTCTAAATTATTTATTAAATATTCAAATGCTGGTAGGATATTTCTCTCCAGGTAATTCAATTTTATTGTTTTTGCATTTGATAATTTGGAGAATTTATGATTTGATAAAGATATTTCCAATAATTGTTTCTCGATATTTTAAATTATAATTCTTCAATTTTTCCTCGCCTTTTAATAAAATTTTTATTTTCTTCATAAAATTTGTACCAAAAACGAGAAATTCTATATTTTTATCAATAATTTTCTATACATTTCATAAATCGCTATATATTTTTTCTCACACTAATAGCTAATTGAAAAATTAATTTTGTTCCTGTAAATGATTAATAGAAAAACGTTGGGAAAAATTTTAAATAAGAGATTGCAATTAGTATTTGATAGCAAAATATATTGTCTGATTTGGATGATATAGTAGAATTAAGATTAAATTTTTAAAAAAATTTTTTTTTTACTCTATTTATCTTTCAATTTCTTTTCTATTCGTTGTTTGAGATTATTTTGTAGCATTTCCGCATAATTGATAGAAAAGTTAAGATTTTTTTTGGATGGTACCAGTAACATTCCTTCTTTGATGTAATCACATGGGAATTTAAAATTTTATTATATGTCAAGTAAAACGGAAACACTCACTTGCTTTCTAGTTTTGTTTTCAAAATACGAAAGAATATTAGCGATAAGACACTCATGCTATTACTTAAAATAGCTAATGCTAACAATCGTACTCAATATTTACGTATAATTTATGAAAAAGTTAATATATCTCTTTCTCTGCAATGTTTGATTAACAAAATTGTTAGTATTTGCAACAATTACAATTTTTATCAAATGTGATGAAATTTGGTTATTGTTGTTGTTGTTGTTTTTTTTTTTCTTATCAAAAAAAAAATTTTTTTACAATAGATTGTTATTAGTTAATTTTATTCATTTTATCACTTATTATTCTTTTTTATAATTCACAAAAAAAAAAATTTGGTTTTTCATAAATGTATAATTTGCATGCAACATCAACATCAGTGGTAATGCTTGCGTGGCATTGCGGTTTCCTGATATTGGTGCTACTTATCATGATGATAGTATTTGGTAATTTGGTGGTCCTTCTTGCTGTACTCATTGATCGTGAGTTAAGACGATTGGCAACGAATAAATTTATTGCAAGTTTGGCTATTTCTGATCTTCTTGTTGGAATTGTTGTTATGCCATTATCACTTTATGCTACGGTATGATTAAAATTAGAATTAATAAAATTTAATGATTTTCATTGATAAGCAAAAAAGTGAAGGAAAAAATTAAGGGATTAGTTGAGATTATAAAATATTTTGCAAAAATTTTTCTATTATAATAAATTTCTTTCGTAATTTTTGATATTTTAATAATTTTGTTCACAATCGATCATTTATTGATGCAAATATTTTTTCAAGCACATTTGTTTAGCCTGCAGTTTGATTTTTTTTTCCATTTTAATTTTAAATAAACTTTTATACTGTTTTTACTCTATTTTCAGGTTAATGAAATTCATTGGGATTTAGGTGCCACATGGTGTCAATTTCATTTAGTAACTGGAGTTTTTTCAACAACTGCTAGCATTATTCATCTTACTGCTATAAGCCTGGATAGGTGAATTCTAGTAATAATTTTAAATTTATTATCTAACAGTCAATAATTTTATGCCTGTTTCAAACTAATTCCTCTCTCTCTCTCTCTCTCTCTTCTCTCCCTCTCCATTTCTTTTGAAATAATTGAAAATCAAAAAAAAAAAGATGGATAACGTTTTTTTTATTAAAATTTATTACTTATAGGTATTTTGCAATAATGTTCCCAACCGAATATCAACGACATTCGATAGCTACCAGTACATTTGCATATCTTATTATGATATGGCTTGTATCATTTGCTGTTAGTAGTACACTTTTTATGGAAAAATCATTGGATGAAGATGGTTTTTGTTGGGCCAAAAATCCACAATATCTGGTAACTTCTTTCATTTTCTTTATTTACCACTTCTTCTTGCATGAAACATTTTTATCAGTGAATAATTTATGATTAATTATCAACAATTTCTATTATTGATTACATTGATAGTATTGGATGTTAAGCGATAAATTGCTATTACTATTTGTTCAAATAGCACAGTTTTTTTCTTTGCTTTCCTCTTCTTTGATCATTTCTTTCATCCGAAAAAAAAAAAATGTATCAGTTATCATTTTCAATCAGGTCTTATCATCATTGCTATCATTTTTTATTCCTGGCGTAATTGTCGTCTATTTGTATGTTAAAATATTTCGTAAATTACGCCATCATCGTTTATATATATTTGGCCAAATGGGTTTATTGAAACGACAACAAACTAATTATTCTGAACGAAAAAATTATAAAACACAATGCTTACCAAAGGTTATTATTGAAGAGGTAATGATAAAGGAAAACAAAAAAAATTCAAAATTTTAACATTTTTTTCCAATCATTTTTTAAGTATCTTAACTTTATTTATCAATTAAATTTAGGAGTTGAAATTATTGTTGAAATTGAAAAGTCTTTATAAAGCACAGTTCGGCATTTAAGACCCTTTAAATGCTTATATGAATAAAAATTTTCATGAATATCGAAATTTTAAGGTTATTAGCCAATGCAGTGTAAAACTTAGCCAAACAAATAGCCTTGGCGGCGGTAATGATAGCACTTGGAATGGAACTTTAGGCTCATCAAATCAACTAAATGCACATCTTAAGAATGCCGAACAAAGGTAACTAATATAATTTTCTCATTTATGAAGGACAAATTATGCATAAATCTTGTTAGATTAAATTTTAAAATTGCTATGCAAATTTAGGCTTACTGAAACACAAAAAATTTTTGCATTTAAATCGCGTTTTTGACAATTTAAAAAGTTTTGATAGGATTAAAATTTACATTCTGTTTTCTCAAAAATAATTTTTTGGTGTAATTTTTCAATATGTTCACATCATTTCATAGTTGCGCTTCCTGTTTAATCAAAATGAAGGATTATCAGTTCGAATAAAATCAGATATGATAAAAATAAGACAATTAAAAAATTCTCTAATTTCAATTTTAAATTCATCAATCGATTTATCAAAAAAGAATATATTGTTTGGGAATTGATTGGTTGTATTTTTTTTTTTTGATTCGAAAATCGGCTAGTTAAAATAGAAAATTCAAATAAAGAAGTTGATACTGAGAAGATTGGACAGGAAATCTGAAAATATAACATTAAAATACAAATTTGACTTCAATTAAAAGTTTTAAAATCAATAATTAAAATATACTGTTTGAAATTATAATTCGGAATTTTATTAAGCATATTTTAAAAAATCTTAAAGATCTTTTTTTTGTTTTTTGAAAAGTTTAATTGTAGAAATTTTATTGGTTTAGATGCTTTTCACCAGCTACAACTACTGAAGCATTGAAAGAGGATTGTTTGACGGTTTCAAAAAAGCGAGGCAGTGTCACATTTGATCCGCCAAGCATGGAATTATCATCAATAACAATAAATTGCCCATCAATTGATAATGCTGGTTGTTAATACTATCATTAAAACTTTTTTTATAATTGTTTGAAAATTTTCCAATAATAAGTTTAATATTAAATTTTACTTGAAGTTTGCATAATTTCTCTTTTAAACAATATTTTTCTATCATCGAAGTATGTTTAGAAATAACAGCATTTTCCTATCACTCGAAGTATGTTTAGCAATTGAAGAAAGTTATTTTTAAGAGAAAAAAAAATACTTGATAAAATAGATAAACGTGATTTTTTTTTTTAGATAATCAATGCTTATTATTGGATCATCATATAACCTCTTTTCCTGATGATAATCCATCCAAAGAATCCAATACAACAAATGATGAAAGCCCTTTGAAGTCATCGATAGCTGCGATTACTGGATCTGATTCGATGAAATTACCTGTTGTAAATGTTTCTTCATTCAGGTAATTATTTTAATTTCAAATATAAAAATAAAAAAAAAACAAAACTGATCGATAATTCTATCACTAAACACATTTTTGATAACATAAAGAAAAATTGCAAAATATTTTATTTTTTTTTTGCTCGTTGAATTTAAATTTATTTTAACTGAAAGATGACAATATCGTTGCAATTTCAGTGATTCAAAAATGCTCGATGATGTGAAAGATGTGAAGGAATCATCAATGTTTTTAGCTTTACCAAAACCTATTATGAATCTTCCTTCCACATCTACAACTGCTGTTTCACTCAAAGTTAGTGGTTAAAATTGAAAATATAATTCATGTGAAATTTAATGGAACAGTTTAAAATTACCACATCCTTGAAATTGAATATTTTATAAATGAATGAATTTTTATTAAAGGTGCCAAAATGGGATTGTTGCGCATCTCCTGTTTCAACAGTACACTCGAATTCAAGCTGCACTTCGACCAGTGGTAGTGGTGATATTTCAAGGTTATCATTTGATCTGATCTGATTTGATCTAATTTGATTGAAATTCAGAAAGCCTTAAATTACTTGCATATTTTTTGAGAGCATAAAATTGATTGCATGTAATTATTATTCGCTGAGTATACATAGAATTTCATCAGATTTTTCTCTTCTTTCTCTTTGTTTTATTCTTTCCCAATTTTATATTATTATTTGGATCAGGAAAAATTTGATTCAATTAGTAGATTTAGGAATTTCTTATAACGAGGTAGAAGTAAGTAAAAAAAAAAAATTCGTTTTCTTGAATTTGTAAATGAGCTATTTGAAAGTACAACTTTTTCGTAGATATTTTGCAGCAGAGATTTCAGAAGGATTTCAATGAATAGTTTTGATACCAGTATAACAGAGGATGGTACTGATAGTACAATTGAAACACCGAACTCTAGGTTAGAGTTAGTTTTGTTTTCTTTTTTTTTTTCGTTTTTTTTTTAAAATTTTTAATTAGTTGAGAAACACGTTTCTAAATTTAAAGTTTATCTTAGGAAGATAAGTACGTGGTCAACACTACGCTCCATGGTACATGCGCCTGATTTTACACCATTAGCTGGTACTAAAAATTCAGTTACCAATAATGCTTCGGGATCAAATCGACGAGGAGCAATGTCTCGTGGAAAATTGAGAAAAATTGCTATTCAGGTGAGATTATGAACAATTTTTTCATCCGGAAGATCTTATATCACATGCATATAAAGAGAAGATGATTGTAAGCAATAATTAGTTCATTTAATTAAAATATTGAGTTAAATTTTTCCACAAAAAGAATATTTGCTAGGTAACACGAGCAATACGTCGAAAACGTCGTGAAACGTTAGCAATAAGACGTGAAACTCGAGCTACAGGTGTTGTTGCTGCCATACTTAGTAAGTTTCCGTTTTTTTTTTTTTTGAATTTCAACAAAATCATTTTAGAAAAGTGATTTATCATTATTTTAGTGTTTTCACTTCTTTTTTCTTTTTTTTTATCTTCCTAATATTAAATAAAACTGATAATTCTTTTCATATTTTTTTCTTCCCTATCATAACTAGTCATTGAAATTAATATTCAACTACTACTATTACTGTTTCATAATCTTTTTCATTATTTCATTCCAGTTGCATTTTTGATTTGTTGGATTCCATATTTTTGTATAACAGTCTATCGTGGAGTATGTACCGGTCTCAATATTCAAGTGGACAAGCATCTTCATGTTAACCTATTTATGCTATCATCATGGCTTGGCTATGCGCATTCATGCTTCAATCCTATCATTTATACATGTTTGAATAAGAATTTTCGGCGTACAATTAAGCAAATGATTTGTTATTCGTG